TGTTACAGTAAGTAAATTGGCTCAAGTATTTTCCTTATTTCAAAAGGTCTGTGATATATCATGTCTCATTCTTATTGCAGTATGAGTATTCTGTTCCATAAATATATAGGAAAAAGGTGTTAACGAAAGCCAAGGTTGCCTGGAAAATTTGGACATAGCAAGTATGATAAGCATAAAACAGATGTTGATCGAAAAAACACAGGCCAAAAGGTATGGAGATAGAAGATTGGGAGGATTTTGTGGAGTTTTGCTCTACACCAGCTAACAAGGATAGACGTGAAAAAGGCATAAAATCCAGGGGACACATCAATAGATTACATTCATCGGGTATAATTGGTTGTGGATGGATAGCACACAAAATGGTAACTATTATACTTATCATTAATGTGTTTTTGTCTTTAACTTATTCTAATATATTATGGAAATAAGCACATCCTTTTCTATTGTTGGATGTTTATAGAAAAAGGTGAGTCTTACTAGGAACATCAATACAACAAAATTTTATTTGATCACACATGCTAGAAAGGTTGGTTCTACCTCCACGAGCACAAACAAAGGCTTGGTAAGTTTAATACTTGTATAAAGCTTATAATGAATTGGTTTCTGAAAGTTCTCTTGCCTATACTTAAATCAGTTAAATGTGTGAGTAATTCTTGGTGGTATCTTACAGGACCAAATCAGAAGGCATGTATTTGGGACAAAAAGATTTGGATCATGATGTTGTTGCGATGTTTGTGAAGTTATAACTTTTGTATATACTGTGAATCTATGATGTACATGTATTTCTCTAATAGATAACATATATCAATGGAAGATACATTTATATTGTACGGTATGTGGGTGAGATGGAGAGGGTTATGTCCGTGGTATAGGTGGAGGTGTTACAAAGACCGAGACATGTGCTTGAGGTCCTTCTAGAGAAATTGTGCACAAAGAGAATCAACAACATGAAATGATTAACAATGAAATATAAACACGTAGAGAATAAATAACTACATTGAAGGAACTGGTACAAACTAACACAACATCCATTGAACAATCTCAGGAGTTTCATATTACCACTCGGGTAAAATAATTTGGTAACTCAATAAAATTCACCATAGGTCCAAGCATGAATGTTAACCTCTATGATTTATTTTCTTTTCTAATGTGTCCTCTATTTTTGGTTGCTATGTTATTCCAATGTATATGATTCATATTCCATAATGAATGCTCAATAATGGCCCATTGATACTGGAAAGAATAAAGCTTTTGTTGTTGGATGTTATTACTCTATACATTTGTAATCAGGGACGGAGCCAGAACTCAGTCATAAGGGGGGCCAAGAACAAACACAAACACTAAAGAAAAAAAATCTCTAAATAGGACAAAAAAAGTTTATAAACAGGATTATCATTGTTTTAATCTCAAAATAGGACTTATTGACTCCTATTTTGGGAAACTTTAATCAAATAATTTTTAATAGAACTAAATAAGATCTATTCAAGGAGTAAAACATATTTTTTCATATTTTTAATGAGGAATGATCCTTTCATAATTACATAACGGGATCCACCATCCGGGTGTCTGTGTTTGATGTGCTTCCGGATGGATTTTTTGGGTGAAATTTTATGACAATATTCTTCATGATGTGTAGATTATTCACACATAATTTCAGTTTAAAATTCAATCGACAAATCAGTTAAATAAATTATTGAAAAACATTGTACCAAAAAATATAAAAAAAAACTCAGTGTTTTTCCATAATTTATTTAATTGACTCTCCAATTGCATGTAAGCTGAAATACGATGGATATAATATACACTTTATGAAATACAGGTTCACAAAAAATCATCAAAAAATTCTACCCGAAAGCATCTCACATAAAAGCTTCTATTGAGTAGTTTTGACCCAATCTTTACTGATTATTTCATTTATAATAGTAGTATTACTAAAAAATAAAAAAGTTGGGAGGGGCCATGGCCCCCCTACCCATACACATACATCCGTCCTTGTTTGTAATCCTCCCTTTTGTGTTAAAACTTCTCCCTTAAAAATATTTCAGTTACAAAAGTTTCTGAATTGTAGAGGTACAATTGAGTTTTCTTCCTCTAATGCTTTTAATAATCATTGATTGGGTATGAATACACACTTACGCACATCAAATTTTGATTTGTTGTTTTAATATGTTTTTACAGTTTTATGGGTGAATGTTGTTTGACTGCCACATAGGTCACAATGTATTATTTTGCAATTAATATGTTTCACTGTAACACATTTAAAATATTAATTGACTAGTACACATATTTCAGCTTATTTATTCGTGAATTTGTTAAAGTTGTATCACTAACTAATGCTTTCTAATGATTTTAGGGAGGTGATTTTGGGCTGACATCAAAGGCATTTTTGTTGTTGAAAAACTTAAGAAAAAAGATCATTGATGGTATAATAGTGAGTTCCTATATGAAGAGATGAGAGGTTTAAAGACATATTGGTTGGTGAGCTCATCAATTGGTTGGTGAGCTCATCAATTCACTTCACTAGGATCTATTAATGTTTGGTTCCACTTTTGTTCTTCATGTTTAGTTTGATATATAGTTCTTTCATTTGAGAATACAAAGAATATTAGTTAAAGGTTAATTTGGACCATGTGGTCAATTGTACTTGATGTTCACATGATTTTAGACTTCACTCAATTTTAGTTGAGTTTTGTTGCACATGAATGAAAATTATCACTTTATTGTTGTTCACCTAAAATTTGTTGTTGTTGTCTCTATATTTGGTGTGCATGATAAATAAAATTAAATACCGAGTTAGTAGAACAAAAAATGTATAATATTATACACTATAGATTATTCTCAACTTATATTTGAAGTCGTTCAATTCTAATAGTTTAAAGCAGACGTCATTCATAATCTGATAACAACAAGTGAAGTAAGTCGGATTTTTTTACTCTTTTTTTTCGGCACCCTTTTCGACTGACCCAAATAGTTGAAAGTTGAACCTACCTTTTTCGACTGTTTTTACCAGTTTATAAAGGCCTTTTTGGGCGCAATGATACTTCAGCAATAATATAATGCACAATTATGTGGGATGACAAAACTGTTGTCAAGGAGGGGATTCTCATTCTTCAAAACACTCCTTCCATTATCTCATCTTTTGTAAATAGGAAATCCACTTCTATCAATTGTAGTCTTCACAAAAATTCATTTGGAAGCTAAGTGTTTTGTGCAATGACCCTTATCCACACACGATGATGATGCATTCAGAAATCCAGAAGGCTTGTGCACCATTAATTCATTGACAACAACTCGTGATCACAAATTTATATGTGACTAAATTTATTGTTTGTATATTACTGTAATATCATGGTCACTATAACATCAAATTAAACATAATCGTTGTTAGTATAAATTACAAATATACTCACCGCATATATATATATATATATAAATATATATATATAATATTTCTATCTATAATCTTTATTTTGATAATAAAAGTCATTATTTCTTTATTTACTTGCAACATATATAATTCTTTCCAGAAATATTTAGTATATGCAACACTATTTTATTTTGGCAAACTTTTAACTTACAAGTATATAGATACCGTTACTGCCCTCTTCTACTATTTATATTCTTTTTATACTTTTAATCTCTTCTTTACTACAAGTACATTTTACACCTTTTATACACTATTAATTGCTCTTATTTAATTAAATTCACACACAAACACTAAACATATGTATAAGAAGAGAGTATATACCAATATAATAAAAATGACATTCTTTATGCACAGGATAATGGACAATATAATAGTCACATGCTATATGATCATTTAGCTAGTCACATGTTATGTAAAATCTGCTACTTGAAAAGAAATATGTGAATCATGTTCTTGAAGAACAAAAATTTAATATATTTAGACAGACGTATCATATATCAAAGAAAACAAGCTGAATATGTATATATATATATATATATATATATATATATATATAGAGAAGTGATCAGGTCCAGCCGGAGGGACGGGAGCCGCCGTCCGAACTCCGCCGTTTGGGGCGGTTCCCGGTGGAATTTTTTGATGAAATTTTTTGAGCATGTTATTAATCAAGTCTAGTTTGTCCATACCAAATTTCAGCTCAAAATTCGACCGGGAAGGCATTCAAATCATTTTTTGAAGTTGACTGCGCCAAAATATACATATAAAAATGCAGTCAACTTCAAAAAATGATTTGAATGCCTTCCCGGTTGAATTTTGAGCTGAAATTTGGTATGGACAAACTAGACTTGATGAAGAACATGCTCAAAAAATTTCATCAAAAAATTCCACCGGGAACCGCCCCAAACGGCGGAGTTCGGACGGAGGCTGGACCGGGGAGGGCTGGACCTGATCTTTCTTGTATATATATATATATATTGTCAAAGACATACATTCTATTTTTCTAATTCTAAGTTATTTATGGCATTGTAGTTTCACTTGAAGATGTAAAACATACTATTGACTTTGAATATATACATATACATCACATCCAATTAAAATAAATCACACTATTTCATTAAAATAAGAATATTATCTTAAAATCTAAAAGCTGTGTTTTAATTTTTAGATAAGAAGGAGATGAATATTACACTTGACTGGCAATTAAACCATATTTACAGGTCTTTACACATGGGATTTAGAAAAAATACGCCTATTACAATAGTCAAAAAGATAAAAGGTAAATTTGACTTATGAACTTGTTCAAAGAAAGTTTTATCTTTCTTGAGAATTCGAGTCTAAATAGTTTAAAAAATAGATCAATTTCAACATGGGAATCTACAAAACTACGCACACAGTTTCGTACACGAACAAAAAAACGACAAATTTTAAAATAGAATAAAAGAAAATCTCGTGATTCATGACACTATGGGAGGAAAAATTACGGCCAATAAGTTGGTTTATTAATGAAAAATAGTACAAACAATTATGAAATTATAAAAACAATACAAACGTGAGTAGACCTTCGCTGTTTCTTCAAGCATCGTGCATGCATTTTGGGCCATCTTTTTTATTTACCTCTCTCCCTCTCTCTCTCTCTCTAATTCTCTTACTCTGCTCTTTGCTCTGCATGCAACGCTTTATCTCTCTAGCCCACACTCGCTCTTTCTCGCTCTAAATCCATACAGAAAACTGTTTAATCGATCTGTATTTTCACCAATCTTTTTGCCCACCCACCGAAAACCACCGCCGGCCACCGACCGCCGCCGACGTTCTTCCATCTTTTCACTGACTCTGGACCTCAAGAATCAGTTCAGATTTCATGCAACAGCAAAAAGATTGAGTCTTGCTATGCTTCTTGATTCTTGTTTGTGGACGTTACATTCGATAGATTGAGCAAGGTGAGCTGTCAGCAATTGTTGAAGATTGATTCTTTGCAGCTTTTAGTGTGTTTTTAATCATCTGGGTCAGTGATTAATCGATGGGAACTTAGGGTTTTGGTTTGATTTCAGAAATTTTCGGGTTTGGAGAAATTATTGGAGGTTTGAATTTGGTCTGAAATGGGGTCAAAGTTTTGCATGAACGAGGTCTGCCGTGCGACGACGTCGTCTGAGTGGAAAAAAGGCTGGGGATTGAAATCGGGTGGATATGCAACGCTTTGCTCTAACTGCGGGTATTTTCTCTCTGCTTTTTCGGATTCTTTTTTTATATGCAAGGGCAGTTTGGGGATATGCGGATTCTGGATCCCTGAAAAGAGCAGACATTTCTGCTCGTGGATAATCTCGCTTTTCCTTTAAATTTTGGTTTTTGGGTAATGAAAAAAATTAAAAAATTGTGCATATTAGATTGCCTCCTATATTTGGGAATGCATGTTTTGCGTCACATATCTGGAATTTGACTTGGTTTCTGCTTCCCATTTCTCGTTAAGATTCTTCTCTTCCGAAGACTGAGTCTTTCATAATACTTGACTTCAATTTTTTAAATTTAAACTTTTGATTAAGTTAATACAGGAGATGCTAATCACATTACACACTACTGAGGTAATTGTTGGACTGATCATTGAAGACCCGAAGTTGTAACATAAATTAAGTGCCTGTTTGGTAATTGTTATTTTGGTATAATGATTTGACTGAATCCACATTATGTTGTAAATAAAAAGTGATCAGTAAATCAATTTTAGCCACATAAGTTTAAAACGGCTTATTTCACTTATTCAACCAAACTAGTAAGTCATCCAAAGAAATAATTAAGGCTACCAAGCGGAGCCTAAGTGTTGCTTATTGATACTAATATTTTGAACCATTGAATGTATAATTAACTACTGGACACCTATGTTGTGCATTTTCACCTTTTAATTCCAAGAAAAGTGCAATTGTCATTGATTCAAAGTCAAATCGAAGTCAAACTTATTCCATGTTTGGATTGCTGATATGAACTTAGGATACGTTTGGTAAGGCACAGCAAAATGCAATTTATGTTATGTTATAAAATGCATTTCTGGTGTAAAATTGAGGCAATAATATTTCTAAGTTTCTCCTATCAATAGGACTAATGATGGGTTCTCTTCACTTGAAAAAAGTGATGTGGTCTAAATTATTTAGATCCTGTGGTCTGATGTACTACGAATGTTTATGATCTTGTCTAAGTTTCCAGTTAAAACACCGTCTGCATGTATAACATCTAGGCCGAGCTAAATGTTTCTCGTCTGATCTGATTAAAATAAATTTCTTGTCTGAAATAATTTGATCAAAGCAACACCTAAGTTTATTTCTATCACGCATGATGCAGATCTGCTTATGAACATTTAGCTTTCTGTGAAATGTTTCACATGAATGAGTCCGGTTGGAGGGATTGCAGAATGTGTGGAAAGGCGAGTATCATTTCTACATTCTGTCTACTTTTTTTTCTGCTCTTCTTTTTTTGTTTCTGCCCTTCTTTTCCTGACAAAATAATTTTATGACAGCACCTTCATTGTGGGTGCATTGCTTCAATGTATCTGTATGAGCATATGGATTATGGAGGCATATCATGCATAAACTGTTCAAGGCGTTTGGGAGGTCAAATCTTGAGAACAATACAGGTTACTTACTGCGAGTTTAAGTATTTTCAAGCTAAGGAAAAAGTGAAACATAAACCAATGCATTTATATATTCCAGTTGCTTGATATGATTGTTAGTGGTTTGGTGACAATTTTGTATTTTAAATATGAAATGATGAACTTATTAACAAGTGTTTGACTATTCTGACAATCTGACCACGTGAGAGCTCTTTTGCTGTTGAGTTAGGTCATTTTGAGTAATGCCATATCAAGGCTTTGTGTCAAAGTGCTGATTTCCTAGCAAATAACCAAAAACACACAAATGAGATAACTTTTCTTCATTGTTCATCTATTCTTTATTCAAACATTTCTATTGCATAATATTTTGCAGACACCTAGTAGTAATAGTATACCAAATGGAACCTTGCCCATGCAAAAAATTAGAGACACACAGCGCGTGGATTCTGAAAACAGAATGGATGCAAATGATTTTGACAAAGGAAGGCTTCTGCACTTAAGTATGGAAACACATAAGCCCGAACCTCTGTTTCAAACCCAAAATGGTGCAAATATTAAACAAGAATTCAAAGTTCCTGTTAGAGAAATCACATCCTTGCCAAACCTCAACCAGAAGACTGTTGATACATCCATATTTGGCAAAACAGACATCAACATCCCTAAACAAGTCATTAAAGACACAACATATCAACCTCTCAACCAGACATCAATGAGTTTCTCATTGACCACTCCCAGTACGGGTACTACTTCAAGTTCTCCACTGCAGTTTCTTGCTGGGATTGTTGAAGGGAGGGAGCAGAGCAAGAGCTCTACCTCATCACAACACGGGCAGAAAGGACAGAATATTTTTCCCAAGCAAATTAAAGCTGGTCTTAATTTGGGGTCTGAGTCCAAAAAAGGATTGCATAGCCCAAGCCGTATTGCAAGACCTCCTCCAGGTGAAGGGCGCAGTGGACGGAATCAGTTACTGCCTAGATATTGGCCTAGGATTACCGACCAAGAACTACAGAAATTGTCTGGAGAGTATCCTTGCAATCCTGTTATCATTGTTATTAAGTTATTGTTATTATTATTATTATTATTAGAAAAAATAACTTTAAATAATACCAAGTATCTTCCATGAACCAAGAATAATATGAACTTTAGCAATAACTTTTAATAATACCAACTATTTAAATATATATCAAAAGTGATATATAGCAAATTTTCACTAAAAATTCAGTCATTTAACTCATCAAAAAATAATATCAAAATATCAAATAAGTGACTCTATAAACGGCTTGATGTCTGAAATGGCTTGATTGCTTATAGAAAAGTGACTCTATTTTATTTTTTGTTTAGATTCAGATACTTGGTATTATTAAAAGTTATTTCTAAAGTATGTACTTAGTATTATTCTTGGTTCATGGAAGATAGTTGATATTATTTAAATTTACTTTCCCTTATTATTATTATTAGTAGGCTTATTAACTTAATATATCCCAACCATAATCAAATTCCCAATTCTTTGCTGTTCTTTATCTTCTACCTAAAAAGATTCAAAGTTTATTTTTCTCGCAACTATACTTTTCCTAGATAAATTTTCAGTAATATTTAAAGAAGAATCCCCACTTTTAATTCTATTTCCCCCTTTCTTCTTCTTCTTTCAAGTTTTCTTTTACAAAATAGTTTTGTGTTGAGAAAAAAATTATTGTACCTAAATTAGTGCTTAAAATACTATACCAAAGGGTTACTTCGTGGAATAATCAGAGTATCATCTTGTATTAGTTTTGAGATTTTGTTATAAAATGGTCAATTATGGGTTAATATGTAAGGATTGACTTGTCGTGTTTTGATCTAAGTTCTTTAACTATGAAACAAAATTCATATAAGCAATTAATTAATAAAGTGTTGTTTAGTCAAATGTGAGTATATAAAAAGTCTTATGTTGAGATTAATTCTAAATTTTTAAAAAGCATGACAGTAAAGGATTGTTGCGAAAAAGATATAGTTTGAATCTTTTTTAGATAATGGTAAAGAATATGATAATATTTTGAATTTGATAATAGTTGGGGAAATATTCTGTTAAAAATCCCTATTGCTTTTATTATTAGTATAATTGCTATTAATGTACATATTCTATTACTGTTAATGTAATCCCACACTACGGAAGTACTCATACTTCACCCACCATATACGAGGTAGGAATTACTCACCTTAAGGTGGGGGCTACCTCGAGCCCCATCCCACCTTAAGTTTGGTAAAAACATTTAAATGAGTAATTTATTTACTATAGAAATTCTGTAAAAGGGGCAGCCCGATGAACATTGGCATCGCCGCAAGGCAAGGGTCTGGGAAGGGTCCCACCATAAGGGTGTGTAGGGGCAAGCCTTTTCTTGTCATTTTTGACAAGAGGCCGCTCCCAAGACCTGAACCTATGACCTCTCAGTCAGTAACACCGTAACCGCCAAGGCTCCCCCTCACTATATAAATTAGGTTTAAATATGTGTGTAGTCCCTGTAAATATCACACATTTTGTTTTACATCCCTGCAAAATTATTTTTTAGTTTTTCGTCCCTGCAATTACGTTGGTTTTCTTTTTTAGTCCATCATTGATTATAACAATCTCCGTTTGACCTCAAAATAACCCCGATTAATAGATTTCCTCTGATTCTTTGTCATATTATTTACATAGAATTTTATTGTATTTTTTAGAAGGTTTTTAATATATATTTTTAAAATATGAATACTTAGTTTTAAATTATTTTAACTCTCATTACTAGCCTCAAAAAAATATAAAAGGATAAATATAAGTATTTCTACTAGATTTATACAATTGACAATAATTTTTGTTGTAAGCAGAGTAGTTTCCGAACTGGAGATGGACTAAAAACAAAATAGTGTATATTGTAGGAAAAACAAGAAAAATATTTTGCAGGGACCTAAAACAAAGTGTGTCATATTTGCAGGGACTAGAAACGTATTTAAGCCTATAAATTATATACAACATCCAAGCCTTAGTCCCAAACGATATTGGGGTCGGCTAACATGAATCGATACATGAGGTCGCCTTATATGAATGAGTTTATTTTGGCCCATCCCAGTTTAATTTTTTTTGGGAGCCATGTTATGTGCCTAGCGAAATCAGTCACCTTATTTCCAATGTATCATGTAGACTACCCCTTATACTTTGTTCGGTTTGTTAACTTATTTAAAATTACAATTTAATAAGGCCAACATCATATAAAAGTTGGAGCATGAGCTTCATCCTTAAACGTCGTTAATAAAGCTAAAAAATCCATCTCTTTTTATATGTGTGTGCGTGTGGTTGGGTGATATGTAGGTAATCCCAAAGTGAAATGCTTTAAACACATTCCTTTTGTGTCAACCACGTTTTTACCTTCACGATCATTAATTTAGCTTGAATTCCAATATTGTACCATTATTCGAGAAGGTTCTTAGTGCAAGTGATGCTGGTCGGATCGGGCGTCTAGTCCTCCCTAAAGCATGTGCTGAAGTAAGTAAGCCCTTCTCCTGTATGTTTATGATCAAAGTAGCATTGCATTCCCATGGATAGTTTGCACCAAATGTTGTGAATAGTTTAATATGGGGTGTGAAATTGTTGGTTTACAGGCATACTTTCCTCCTATTAACCATTCGGAAGGTATAGCTATAAGGGTTCAAGATATAAAAGGGCAGGAATGGACATTTCAGTTTCGGTTTTGGCCCAATAACAACAGCAGGATGTATGTCCTTGAAGGTGTTACCCCTTGTATCCAGAATATGCAGTTGCAAGCTGGTGATACAGGTATGTCTTCCAGGCCTTTTTATACATGTAAAAGTTCATGATGGTGAAAGAGTTATTTTTTTAATTGCCTTGTTCAATTTTAATTCAGAATCTCATGATTTGACACGCAAGTTGATTTTTAATCATGAGGACAGTTTTGGAATTTCATTTCGTTATTCATTCGTAAGAGATTCTCGACCATAAAGGAATCTGGCATAAAAATTCTCTGTATTCAATTAGCATCAGCCATCAAGTTATAGTGTGAATTAACTTTAGACTGTTGTATAAAACTATAATTTCATGTCACCAACCCCAACAAAGTTGGGATTAAGGTGTGATGATGATTATGCTTAGAATATGCAGGCAATTGTGTATTTGATGATAAAGCAGCATGGAACTGGTAATTTGTTTTTTTTAAAGTCTGGATTCTTTATATGAGATAAAATTACTTATTCATGTCACTTTATAAAGACAAGGACTGGTCATGTTTGATTGGAGGTAATGAGCCCTGGAATACAATGGAAAACATATGGGTTTAAACATTCCCACTGTTTATTTATCCAAAACATCAGTTGAGAATCATTGCATTGAATTCATTTTCCAGTTGTTTAAGATAAAACTCTTCACGTTAGAGACTCAGACCATAATGCTACACTATGAATACTCCATTCCGTTTATTTTCCACTATGAATAGTTGAGTACACCTTTCTGTTTGTTTTTTTAATAACTCCTTACTTTTCTTTACATTCTTTTCCATTTTTATTGCCATTACCATACTCCATGCTAACCAAATGTGACCTCAAGAAGTAGAGAATTGATCTTCCATTCTTCTATTTGATGCTACTGAGGTCTTATTGTGTACTACAGTCCTCTTGTATTAAATTCAGAAATAATAATTGTTCTTTATGTTTCTTATAGTTACGTTTAGCCGGATAGATCCAGGAGGAAAACTAGTTATGGGTTTCCGGAAGTCAACAAATAATAATATTGATCCACAGGTTAAGCTGCTACACACTGTATCTTTGAAAAAGTTGTACAGCTTTCAATTACCCAATATTTTTTTAATATTAATTAATGGGCAGGAATCTTCAAATCTTCCCACTGCTGGGAGTTCTGTGGAAATTCAAGTTTCTGGTGCCACTGACAATGACATGGTAAGTGCTTGACTGAGTTGAAGTCCCTGAAACATTTTAAATTTGGTTCCTTGTTATAAACCAAACCAAACAAACCAGTAATTCCCACTCGGAAGTAGAGTTTGCAGAGGGTGTGATGTATAGATATGTATTCCTTAGAGTAGAGAGACTATTTACGTTAAGCACCCCCCCCCCCCCCCCCCTTAAGAATTTCTTGGAAGCTCTAGAAGATGTTAATGATTTGAAAAACATGGTACTTTTTTAAAGTTGCAAGGTTCTAGTAAATATTTTGAAGTAAAATAGGACATCTGAAGGTGAAATGTTGTGTAAACATTGTGTAACAAAATAAAGGTGAGCAATAAAAACGTATAGCAAAAAGGGCCTTATAAACCAAAACCATATACGTAGTATCTTTTTGAAATATTCCGAGGTGGCACTCTTAATAGTTTGAAATGGTTTTTTGTTTTCCTCCTTTCATCAATACTCCAAAACGAGAAGAATGAAAATGGGGCCATTGATGAAACCTTGCAAAAAAGTGCATCTCTTCCAGAGAAGGAGAAGAAGAGGGCACGGAACATAGGGCCCAAGAACAAGAGGTTATTAATGCAAACAAAAGATGCTTTAGAGCTGAAGATGACATGGGAAGAAGCACAAGAGTTGCTACGCCCACCTCCATCTGTGAAGCCAACAATAGTTGTTATTGATGAGTGTGAATTTGAAGAATATGATGTATGTCACCCCTTCTTCATCTGAGAAATGATACGCTTATTTTTTGTTTTGTGTTTAGTTGTTATTATATATGTTCACTTCTTTACCTCCTTATATAGGAACCACCTGTTTTTGGAAAGAAGACAATGTTCAGTTCTGGATCAACCGGGTATGGAATAGATTCAATAGAAAATTTAATCAACACTGTTGGTTATATGTGTAGTGACTAGTGTATATAATGCTCTATGTTTACATCATATTAGTAGTGCCTAAACTACATGGTATACACACATTATAAAACAATATGTGTGTGCTCATATGCATGGCACGTTTAACAAGAATAGCTTACTCGTACATTGCAATATGTTATCTGAATAGTTCTATAGTGATTTTGTGATACTAGATAACCAAATGAAGATGTATGATCTTGATATACAATCTGATGTATGAATTTCTACACCATCCAATAATTACATGTTTGGTGGAAAGGTAAAAGAAACAAGTAGGGCATAATATATATGTGGTGGTATCCTTAGTTGTAAAGAAATACATTGGACTTTACTTTGAAGATGTTTAGTGACGTGCTAAATGAGCGTGTTTTGTGAATTTTTTAATTATGCAGTAGTTCTCAGCTGATTGATTTTTATTCATGTTAAAATTATGTTCGAATTTATAATGCCTATATGCATTATTATGGTATTGTTTATGAATGTTATGTATTTAAAAGTTTGCCCCCTAATGTAAAAGTTTTGGGTAGGCCACCGCCGCCAGTATGACTGATTAAGGTGTTTATATTGATATGTGTATATGTATGTTTATTTGTATGTGTATCTATACTGACGAAAAGTATATATATACATAAAGTGAGCAGGAACAATGGGCTCAATGTGATAGTTGCTCCAAATGGCGCCGGTTGCCTGTGCATGTTCTCCTTCCACCGAAGTGGACATGTTCTGATAATATTTGGGACCCAAACAGGTACCACTAGTTTTGATCTTCTCCCGCTCTTTTAACACAATAAATACAATGGGAAAACATTTGACACATTTCCTTCCAGATGTTCATGCTCTGCTCCGGATGAGATAACCCCGAAAGAACAGAACACATTCCTTAGAGATGGCAAAGGTAAAAATCATACCGGATGGACATTATTTCCATTTCCCCTCTTTAAACTTAAGAAATAATTATAAATAATGGACAAAAAGTGACTTTTAGAGCACACAAGTGATCATGGTGTTTGGTAATTTCACATTTACTGCAAGTGATCATGATGATGTTCCATTTTACTATGCAGCCACTACAATGATATTTTTGCATTGACTGACTATAGTGATAAAAAATGACTGTAGTGATTGGTGGCCATGTAATGATATATATTTGTCAATAAATATTATTTTAATAGTATAATAGGAAAAATGAAGGGGGCATTGCTGTGTGACTGAGAGGTCACAAGTTCACGTCTTGGGAGCGGCATCTTGTCAAAATCAAAAGGGAAGATTTGCTCCTTATACCCCCTTGTGGTGGGACCTTCCCTGGCCTTGTGGGGCCCTAATGTGCACCAGGCTGGCCCCTTTATTAATTTTATAGGGAATATCTGTAAATTTAAATATTACTTAATAGCTTAACCTAATAGTTCATCCCTTATAGGGAATGATGTGTGCAGGGATTGGGATAGGGGATGACATTTTTTTAGATTCACTCCTATGTTAATAAATACGAGTATAACAATGTGAGGGTAAATTTGGGAAAATGTTACCATTGTCTGAACATTTATGTTCCCATCATTGTCTGAACATTTGAATGATGTGTGACACTTGATATTGCCCTTTGTTAGATTCTAAAAGGCGGAGAATCACGGAGAACAGTCATGACCCTGAACCTTCGGGGTTGGATGCTTTGGCCACCGTCGCAGTATTAGGAGACAACATTGGCGACTTTGGTGAACCGCCTCTATCTGTTGGTGTGGGACCCACAACAAAACATCCTCGACACCGACCTGGCTGTTCTTGCATAGTTTGCATCCAACCTCCAAGCGGGAAGGGTAAACATCTTCCCACGTGTAAATGTAACGTCTGCTTGACCGTTAGGCGTAGGTTCAAAACCCTCATGATGCGTAAGAAGAAAAAACAAACAGACCGTGAAGCCGAACACATCACTAAAGATGGATCGGAAACGGAGGGTGCAAGTTGTGGGCCTGCGGGGGCTTTGGTTCATGTGATAAATCATTCGGAAAACGATAGCAATCCAAATGGGGATATGGAGGATGGTGGAACCAGCAAGGGACAATTGGACCTGAATTCTGATCCTAATCGTGAGGATGACATGCTACTAGAGGCAGTGGCTGTGATTGATACAACTGCCCTTCAAGCGAAGGATACTAATGGTTTAGTAACCCAGAACCATTATGATGAACATAGGATTATCATGCCTGGAGATGCCAAGCAAGAATATAGGGCTGTTGGTTGATGACTGATGAGCAGTCGTCATTTTTTTTATATTTATAAAATGCTTATTTGGCTGGGCTTTTATAGATTGTCATTTCATTATCACCCCATACATAGTTTACGTATACCATACTGTTTACCGAGTGGCATCATCTACATGTCTTGAAGAGAAATGCACAAAGTCTGAAATGTAAATTCATTTGTATCTTTCATTCAAGAATTTTTTTCCCATGTACTTTTTTGCATACTTTTGAGAACTGATCACTAAATTTGTTTGAAACCTGGGAAGCTTTAAAGCCATAAATGTAAGAAGGGAAAAACAAGGGATAGAGAATTGGAAGGGGCAAGGCGGCAAGCTATTAAGACATTCAAACCGCTGATTTTTGAATCTTGTTTTCAATATATCTTGTTGTAAACTTATAATGCAAAGCACAAACTAAGCTGTTCAGAGTTCAGACCAATATGTGGTTGTTAAAGTTGAAAGTATTCATTAGGTATTGTATTTTGGTTGAATGTCACATTATCATTCAATAAAATAAAGGATTATTAGCTTATTTTATTCCAAACTATCATTAAATTCACAAATCTATCTTACACTTTCATTTTTATATAAAAAAATATTCAAACTTCATGTTTTCAACAATTATGCTTTTCTATTTTGTTTTTTCAAAATTACACATTTTTATCAATACCAATAAGATATAAGCAATACAATTTTGTAAGCTTAAAACTAGAAAGAAGTGAAAAAATATGAAATATGAATATAATTTTCTCCTCAATTTTTATTGATTCATCAATTGGAAGGTGGTGTAATTGTGAGAAAAACTAAAGTTTGAGTTTTTTTTTAATAAAAGCGAAAGTATGGGATAAATTTGTGAATTTCATGATAGTTGAGAATATATTTAACTAATAATCCTAAAATAAATTGTCACATTATAATATTTAGGTATTCATGAGAAATGTACCGATAATATTTATTATGTATTTTTCATAGGTCTAGTCAATGAGAACTATGTGTTCGTACATTAATAGTTATTAAGCGTGTTTGGCATTTAACAGTTAGTGTGTAGCGGTCAGCGGATTATGGGGATGTTTGTTTTTCAGCGGATTCATGCCAACCCGCTGCTTTTAGCAGCGGTTTGTAGTTCAAAAAGAGTAGCGGATTGCTCAATCCGCCGTTAGCCCGTTATACAAACGGGACTTTTGTTAGTGTGTGTCAATAGTGAATTCAGTCAGCGGGTTTGACTAGCGGAACATGTTGACGGGTTGTCGTAAAATGTTTGATGATTTCAAAACGGTAATCCAAAACTTTCCCATTTGTCTTGTTTTACAAAATTTTTGTTGTATAAGCCGGCGGTGTGACACACTTTTTTGTCTTTTTTAAACACAAATTTTTTGTGTGTTATTTAAACACAAATGGTTTGTATTAGAGGATTTTTTTCTTTCAAATTTTATGTATTTCATAGACAATTTATCTTAGAAACGAAAACATTATTTGTACATTTTTCATCTTGAACATGTATTGTAGCCGTGTCCACTATGGTGTGTAGAAAAAGAATTTTTCATTCAACTATCCAATGAAAAAGCATTTCTTACTAAAATGTTTTATTCTTTTATTGTTATCAGCAAAGTGGCCATGAGTCCTAGCTGTTTGACTGATGGATGAGTGTATTCTAATAAAGAAATGGAAAAAGAATTAAAAATGGTCCATTTTCATTACTGAGTGTACCAATAATTAGTGGTTATAAGTCTCTATTGCTTTGCGTTTGTTTCAACAAATACGGAATAACAACTAATGTTTGAATGCTTCTCAGCCAAAATTTCAACGTTGTATGGATCTCTCATGAAATGTTTGTCTCTTTTTCATTGACATGCATTGAATTTATTTTAATTCATAAATTGCTACGTCCATTAGGACCATTATTATTGTAAAATAAATAAGGGAGAGTTTGGTAAACATTTGGATACTATGGGTACATACCTTTTCATTTGAATTAACTTCAGTTCCTTAGTTAATTTAAATCAGACCATATTAAAATTTAACGAATCAAATCACCTAGGTCAAATTCATGTATACTATGGGGTGTTTGGAACTGATTCTGCTTCTGCACTTTTCAAAAGTTGGTCTCCCTCAGCTTCTAAAAAAATCGATTCTAGGAGTAAAATTGAGCACCAGAAGTACTTCTACACTTTCAGCCAAACACTCCAAGTTCTGCTTCTGCTCCCTGAAGGAGCAGAAGCAGTTTTAAGAATCAGATCCAAACACTCCCATAGTATATATAATATAAAGGGGAAAAGGGTCAAATAGACCCTCGAACTTACATAAAAAAGTCAAATAAGCCCTTATGTAGGAGGCTCTGTTCGGTTGTCGTCATTTGGGGCGGTTCCCGGTGATTTTTTTTTGATAATTTTGTTTTAGCATCTTATTCATTATGTCTAGTTTACTCATACCAAATTTCAGCTAAAACTTCAATCAGAAAGGCATTCAAATAAATTCCTGAAGATAACTGCGCAGTTAAAAGCGCAGTTGTCTTCAAGAATTCATTTGAATGCCTTCTCGATTGAATTGTTGATGAAATTTGGTATTAGTAAACTAGACTTAATGAATAAGATGCTAAAAAAAATTCATCAAAAAATTCACTGGGAACCGCCCTAAATGGCAACGGCCGGACAGAGCCTCCTATATAAGGGCTTATTTGACCTTTTTATTTAAGTTCAAGGGCCTGTGTGACCCTTTTCCCTAATATAAATACAACCTTGCTTATTGTACGCACACTCAGCGTACATACAAGAAAATACATACAAATACATACATATTAAAATTTTGGGTAATATACCTACGAGAAAATACATTGGGGGCGACTCATTTGCCTCCCTTTGGGTCTGTTGCTGCACACACCATACATGTGTCTGTAATCGGAATTTTTTTGTCTGTAAAACATACTTTTTCTATGAACAAATGAGCGTGTACGAATAATTTTTTTTTCATATTCTTTTTGCCAAATTAAACTAGATCAAATAAAAAGTTTGTGTTAGGCTAGATCAAATTAAATAAGAGGATAACCTAGCGTCGTAGCTTCACACAGAGGCGCCAGCTATGTCGATTCCTGCCATCTGTCATCCTTTTCTGATCTAACCTCCTCCTTCTGATCCAAGAATTTGGCAACTCCATTAAACGGCGGCGGTCTGGTCTAGGGTTCTCCTAATGTTGTTTTGTCGGCAGTGATCCGATCATCTTGTCCGGCGGCTTGGTGTATCTCTCTCTAGGGTTTGCTACTTTCGCCGCTTAGCTTCGGCATAGGTTGGTGCGACGATTCTTCTCCTTCGGCCACGAAGGGTGCTGCTTGTGTTGCTCTTTCTCATATTTTGCAGGTTATCGCTTCCGACAGGGGTTGCGGCCACGAGGGTTTGGAGAGCGAGCGTTGCAGGTTATAATCTCTCCTTCGGCCACGAGGGTTACGGCCATGAGGGTTTTGTTTGGGGCGCCGCAAAGTAGCAAGGCAGAGTAGCAAGGAAAGATGAATGCATCACAGGGGTTGGTAGCAAAGAAGATGGCCGCTAGCGGTAATTTTGCTACGAGTGCGGGACGAGGAGAGTTGCACGGGTTTTGAGTAGGCCAGATTTTGATCAACAATGGAGGATCAATTAGAGTGGTACCAATGGTGCATCATCTTCCTGAACCACCGTCATGGGTTGTATGAAGTGCTAGAGTCCTTGAAAAGTATCCTATTAGTTTTTATTATTTTGTCTTTTGGATTCTTGTTAACGTCTATGTTGTTAGGTTTGCGAGTTTGTTTGGAAATTTAGCCTTTTTTATGTCATTGGGAGTATTTGGACCTATGGGACCAGGGATAGCTGTGTCAAGCCCGCTTCATGCAGGGGTGGAGCTAGGGGAGGGCCAACCCTGGCCATGGCCCAGCCCAAATTTAAAAAATGTTTAAATATTTAGTGTAAAAATTTCCGTGTAAATTTTTCCCAAAAATATTCTTTGTATCGGCCCAGTGCCCTGGCTTCGCCCCTGCCTTCATGGTTAGCGATTTGTGTTGCTTTTTCAAGGGTGACCGTCTCTGAGTCTGATCGTAGAGTTTACAGTCGTAATTGTTGGAGATTAGTGGGTGTCTAATTTATTCTTTATTTGATTGATGTAATGATCCTGAAACTTATGATTCGAATTAATTGTTTTAGCTCATTCGGCAATTAATTAATTGTTTTAGCTATTGTTAATTGTTATCATCATCTGTCGTACGTCAAGGACCAATTTATTGAATTGTGGATTGAATCGATGAAGCATCAATATTGTCGAAATGAATTTTTATTGCAGTTGAATTTTATAAGATTGAATAAAAACCTTCATTTTTCGTCCATTTAATTTAATTTATTTAGTAAATGTAATGTTAATTTCTTTGGCAACCCAACATTAGAACATGTTTAATCACAATATCATAAAAAATACCCGTGGTAGTAAATCCAAACATAACATTTCAACCTAATTTACGTTTTACCAAACTGTCTTTTATCGCCACATGCAAACTTATTTTTATTAACTACTACCTCCGTCCCGGAAACAAGTTCTCGGGTTGACTTTCACACATTTTAAGGAAATAAATTTACTGAGAGGTAAATCTTATTGTTTCGACACTGTTTAACACTGTTTGACACTGTTTTGCACTGTTTGACAATTTATGAAATATTATAAATTTATTGTACAATTTATAAAAAGTGAAAGATTTTTTATACTTTAGGCAGTATTTTATATTTTATTAAAACGTGGCATAACTGCTTAATTGCTTTTAGGTTAGATTTCTTTTCAAAATGGAAATAAGACAAATAATTGCATCCATGTGATGATTTTTTAGTATGTGAGCTTCGACAATATTTTCAAATCACTATAAGGATTTATTTGACATTTTCCTTATTGAGGGTAGTTAGACAGATTAACTGAAACTGAATTGCCTACATTAGGCTAGCCGTTCGCCGCTCACTGTTCACCGTTCACAACACTTCGAAGTTCACCGTCAGAAGAGATGATGAGCAGATCGGAGGAGATGACAAGGATGAGAGAAGATGGTGACTCTATGAGAGAAGAGGTGAGGGAAGAAGATCGGATGTGCCATGAGCTGCTATGAGCGAAGAAGATTGATGATATGCAATGTGCGATGGTTGTGGGATGAGCGATCGATAAATTAGAAGAGAGGTAATTTAGGAACAAAAGTCCTATTTAGGGAATAAAAATACTCCTACTCCTATTTAGGATTTTCAGCATCATTTTAGTCCTATTCAAGACAATAACTCTTTTTAAAAAAATATGAAGTTTCAACTGTTGGAGATTTTTAGACTCAAAATGTTTCTGGAATAGATCCAAGTGCTAATGAACTGATATGGAATTTGATTTATTACGATTAACCTCGTATTCGAATTCAGACAACTCCTAAGAAAGGTTACTATCCAAAAAATACATAGTGAGAGACTCACCAGTTATTCGCCTTGATGAAAATCCAATTTACATCATTCCAACTAAGTGCTCAGTGCGATTTTGAGACTCTCGAGGGGGTGGGGGTTATTGTTCAATTCCCGCATAGGGGCATTAGAGACCAGTTCATGGGTTACAACATTATGTGAGTAGTGTGAGCCTCGATACATTATACTCATTTATGTCTTATAATATCGCTAAAATTGACCAGTACACAGTATAATAAAATAAAAATTTTGTGATTGAGATTTATGTAACAGAGAGCCAATTAACAAAAAAAAATCATTACTTAAGAAACACACTGTATATAACAAAATTATTGAAGCATTTAAAAAGGAAAATCCATAAAGTCACACAAAAGACTCCTACAAAACGGAGAGTACTGTGAAAGTGCGAAGAATATAAAATTCGCCGCGCCCGATACGTACAATATCCTACGGAGTATGTAGACAGAGAAAAAGATTTCTCAAAACTGAAATTGAATGCACAAACATTTCTTATGACGGTGCATTCTTCCTTCTCTTCAGAATTCTGAAGAATTCATAAGGAACTCGTAAGATTGGGGGAGTGAGAGGGGAGACGATTTCCAGTTTGTCTCCATCTCTCTCAATCTTCCCCTGGTTTCTTCTCAGACATTCATAGAACCAGCAGATTATGGATATGAGATTTCCACCATTTGTATATACAAGTCATGCAGCTCTGTAGAGACATTTATTATGGATCAAAAGCTTTCGTTACGCCATTTCTGATTTTCCGTATCAACCCCCGTCCCCCTCTTTATATGTAAACTTTTTTTCCCCCACGCCTTCCAGAAATTTCCATGTTTTCCTCTGCCGTTATGTTTTGAAAACCCTAGCTGGTTGAATTTGGAGTTTCGGTTTTGAACTCTGTTCAATGGGGTATCATGGTAGCGGTGGCGGACCTGGTTGCTCTAGAGGGCCTAGAGTGGATGATCGTTTGGCCACGACTCATCCTGATCCCTCGGTCATTGGCGAGGAATGCTGGTCTTCTGCCGAAGAAACCACCACGGAGTTAGTGAATTGTATCCATCCCACGATGGATTCCGAGGAGAAGAGGAAGGACGTCATGGAGTTTGTCCAGAAACTGATAAGAGATTCTCTTTCTTGCGAGGTTTCATGCTTTTCACAATTCTCTTTTACATTCCCGCTTTTATGTTCCCTGTGTGATTCTGCTAGTATACTTCGTGCATTATGTCCATTGGTGCTGGAATGAGTAAAATCAAGTGTTTATTCTGCTTCAATGTAAAAAAATTATTTTCAAAATGGGTGGGCGACGTACTTTGTGAGTTTGGCAGTTCCTTGGAGTACCCAGATTTTGATGTCCAAACTCCAAAGCATTAGATGATTGTTCTGGAGAGTTTTTATGCTAGATCGCCCATTGGCAGATTTATATGACACGTCTGCGTCTTTAAGATTTTGATATCAAATTCATTTTAGCAGTGGTGTATTCTTATCAGTTCACACTGTATTTTCTTTGGGTAGCAGGTTATTAAAATTTTCACTTTTACTGTGTACATTCATTGATTCAATACCTACCCATGTGCACATTTTATATACGCGCCTCACCCCTGGCGTAGGCCCTATGCTGTGCATCAAGTTGACTATTCAGAGCCCAAGGCCCCTACTATTGTGGGCCATCATTTTTTTGTTCCAAGAAAAATGAAATCGAGGATGAATTGGGAGGCTGGTACTGTATCAGTGGTAAATCATAATTGTAGTCTTGTAGATGACCTTTTAAAAAGATAAACAAAAGCATTTACATAGGGATTAGGGAATTACATTTTCTCCCCAGGCAATAACATATCTGGCGGCAAGGAGGTCTATATATCGTAGACGGAGAATTAGATCCATAACTTAAATTATTACTCCGTAGGTCTTATTTCACACACTCCTGTACAGTAATGAGTCGATGGGGTACAGCAGTTTTTTTTAAAGAGACATGTATATACTCCATATATGACTTGTTTGGGATTAGAGCAATGTTATAGGTACCCAAAATGGGGTACCACAATTTAACTCCACCCTCATTTGTGGCCACACATTAGGGTGGGATAAAAATGAGGTATCCAATTTTGGGGTATTTTAGCATGTTACTTGAGGTTATCATCACCACTCATATTTACGGAGGAGTTATAGTGAAGAATACCACTATAAAATGATTTCCGGAGGTCATGAGCCCGTTTGATATCACTGAAATTGACCTAACCGGTTGATTATGCTGAAATTTATGAAATTCTAGCTGAAGTGTCTGAATTGGCTAATTTTGTTGATTTATGAAAAACTATATTTAAAATATATTGTACTAATAAAATAAATAAAAAATTATATGAAAAAATAGCTAAAATGATCCTCTACAATAACTTCAGCCAAAACAACCAAAAAAGTAACTTCAGCCTTATTTTTTTTATTATTACACAATTCAGCGCACGAATCAAAAATTATGTATGTAGTGAAAAATTGGTTGATAAACCCGATAAGTCGGAAAACAGGATCACCAAATTGACTCCATATGTGTCATTTGACTAATGAAATCACATAAGCTCCTAAAAATTACCTTTCATTTGTGGTTCCTTTTTAAGAGACATGCCTATTACAAAAAAAGGTACTCCTTCTGTCCCTAAATTTACTTCCATTTCGCTTTTCGAGAGTCAACTTAAATCACTCTTAAACTCTTACTTTTTGTATGAAAACTTTATGAAAATTGATTTTTTTTGTGCAGGCTTTGTAGCGGGTTTAATGTAGTTTCTGAATATGTAAATTTAACTTTATCGTCGGTCAACCTTCGTAATCCGCAATCGGAAGAACATTCAGGGACGGAGGGAGTATTATTTTCTGACGCCCCCTTGTGTGGACTCTTGACCCATGGTCTCTTAACTATGTATTCCATCCGTCCCATTAGAAAGTTCTCACTTTCCTTTTTTGGACATCCCATATAAAGGTTTTTATTTTCATTTTAGGAAACAATTAACAATCTTAAGTGACAAATTAATCATTAAATATTAAAAATAAGTTTTTTTACAAGAATATTACTAAAATAAAACTTATTTACATAAATATGACTATTCATTACTACAATGTAGTGTTGTGATAACTTAAATTCAAAACTTGAACTTGAATTACTATGATTTCATTACTACTCTAGTAACTAATCATATTTTTGTAACTCATCTTTATTTTGGTCATATTTATGTAATTATTTCTAAAAATAATACTATGTACATTTATAACATCGCAGTTATCAATATTAACTGCATTATAATATATACCAATTAAAATTATTTCTCAAAATATACTCGAAGTATTTAATTTAATTATTGTCTAAATAACCGTGTCATTTTGTTATAGGAATCTTCCAAAGGGACGGAGGTAGTATATAGTGACTTAATTGCTACCTCATTATATTGAAAAAAGTACTTCTTCAAAATTCTTATTGTCCGTCAAAAAACTTGTCAAGATTTATTATCCAGCATTCAGATTTTTGTGAATAATTTCAGTGTGTTGACCGGATTCTAGAACTTCAGTGTGATAATTTCTGTACTTGGTTACAGAAAGAGTAAAGGGTCAGTTTGGTACTCGAAGTTGTAAAAAAGGTGTCAAATAAGTCCTTATATAAAAGATTATGTCCGGATGTGCCATTTGAGGTGGCTCCTGGTGGAATTTTTTTATAAAATTTTTTGAGCATCTTATTCATTAAGTCTAGTTTACTCATACCAAATTTCAGCTAAACATTCAATCGGGAAGACATTCAAATGAATTCTTGAAGATAACTGCGCTTTTAACGGCACAATTATCTTCAAGAATTCGTTTGAATGTCTTCCCGATTGAATTTGTATCTGAAATTTGATATGAGTAAACTAGACTTAATGAATAAGATGCTCAAAAAAATTCATCAAAAAATTCCACCGGGAGCCACCTCAAATGGCACTTCCGGACAGAATCTTCTATATAAGGACTTATTTGACTCCTTTTTTGCAACTTCGAGGACCAAATTGGCTCTAATCCCGTTACAGAAACATTACTTTGTTTAACGAATTTGATTTTACATGGAATGTAACTATAATTGAAAACATAAAATCCCTCTTTAAATAAGTTTCTTTACATAGTATGTTCGTTAATTTTTTATAGGCTTTTCCATATGGATCAGTGCCTCTCAAGACCTATCTTCCGGATGGAGATATTGATTTGACTGCTCTTACTGGTCCTAGTACTGAAGAATATTTGGCGCGTGATGTCCTTGCTCTTCTGAGGGAGGAAGAACAGAAAGAAAATGCTGAGTATAAAGTCCAGGATACCCAATTCATTGATGCTGAGGTTGTCTTATTCCTGATGCTTCATAAACTATACCCAGTATTATTTTATGAACTAAGCTGGGTTCTAGAGGCATGTATTGTTGTTTGTTGATTTCATTATGGCATCTAAGGGTATTTATCAAGATACCTATCCTTAGCTCATCTCTTCATTAATGGATGTAGTTTTTAATGTAATAGGGTTTTTGGATAAAATTAACTAGGCAACCTTCAATTTGTTAGGGTTTGTTTGCAGTATACATGGATTGTTAATGTTTTTGTTGTAAAAGAGATCTTTCATTCTGAATAATGAGATTTTATAAAGTCGAGCATCTATGGGTTGGTGGATTCATGGAAGACCGTGGGGTGTGATATATCAAGTCTGGGGTGTTATATATCAAGTCTGGGGGTGATTCATTGATTTTGGGTAAATCTAAAATAATTTGTGCGGTTGGTTAAAGTATATGGCATTTGGAATAGTATGGGTTTTGGAGTGAGTCAGTTTGAGCCTTTGAGGTGATGGGTTGATTAATAACCTTCATGCAATTTGATACTCCGTAACAAATACTTGTAGAAATTAGAAAAGCTTTGAAAAAACTGACTGTAGTTTTTTTTCCACTGATGTAACAAAGATATTTTACATACAGCCAAAAAATGTGGCTGTATGTATCCTTAATTATCAAATGTAATTCTTTACATGTTGTATTGTACTTTAAAACCCTTTTAAAATGATCTTTTAGCTTTCCCATCTGCTAAGAGTCTAATACGATTGGATGTCTGATGGCAGGTTAAACTTGTTAAATGCCTTGTACAAAATGTTGTCATTGACATATCTTTTAATCAGTTAGGAGGTCTCTGCACACTTTGCTTCTTGGAGCAGGTAAAGCATAAATTTCCCTCTCTCTTTCTCTTATTTATTGTGAGGGGGGAGACTTGCTAAACTTCTGTTTATTGTGAAGGTAAGTAAGAACGGAAAAAGAATATTTGATTAACTATCACTCTCTGTCCCAAAAACAAGTTTCCTTTTGGCTTTATGATGTTTGATCAATGATAAAGTTTTCTCATCTTTGACTAGAAATTTACAAATTTAGAAAGTGAACTAAATATTCTATTTAACTGCAAAAATCGATTTTGAATGTGATAGTCTCATATATAAAATCAGACATTAAAAGTGAGTTAAGTTGGCTTCAGTCATAGTGAACATGAACTTAATTTTGGGATGGAGGTAGTAGTAAGCTATTTTTTATTAAGGTCCGTTTTCTTCAAGTTTTTTTAAGCTTACATAAGTGTATAACTGGATGGAGATGTTTTTGAATAAATTGTAGCTTTTAAAAAAATCTGTCTTTTAATTTTAAATATAGCAAGGCGGTTGAAGATTTATATTTCACCATTTATATCTTTCCCTTAAATAGCAGACGTAGAGAAATTTTAGTTTCCTTGACTAAACATCTGGTGATTAATTTTTTCAATTTTTTAATCTTGCTGACATTTTGTTCATACAGGTGGATCGTCTTGTTGGCAAGAATCATCTCTTCAAACGCAGTATTATGGTGATAAAGTCCTGGTGTTATTATGAAAGCCGAATCCTGGGTGCTCATCATGGCCTCATATCTACCTATGCATTAGAAACACTGGTCCTATATATCTTCCAGTTTTTCCATTCATCTTTAAATGGTCCTCTAGCGGTAATTGCATGCGGAATTTCATAATTTACCCTATCTTATGGAGAAGTTTGTGCTATTGTATCTCATCAAAGTTCTTTAAATTATTTTAGGCACTCTATAGATTTTTGGATTACTACAGTAATTTTGATTGGGAGAATTACTGTGTTAGTTTGAATGGGCCGGTTCGCAAGGCATCCCTTCCTGAAGTTGTGGGTAAGCAGTAGGTTTGTCTGTTAGATCTGTTTGTTCTAAAATATTTATGAATTTCTTGCACAATTGTGTGTTAGCATTAGGAAATTTGAAATGAAGACAATTTGATATCTTTCCAGATTCATTTTTATATTTGTTATTCTTCTTCTTCTTCTTCTTCTTCTTCTTTTCCCAAGCATTTCTAGGATGTTTGGTGTGTAATTCTTTCTTAAATACTGATCATATTTCAATTTTATCGGCTCACTCAAGATTGGGTATGTTTTCATTTGCAGTTGAGAAGCCTGACAATGGAGCGAATGAGGTATTGCTCAGTGAAGAATTTTTGAGGAACTGTATGGAAATGTTCTCAGTTCCATCCAGTGTTAGTGAAAGCAGCCGCGGAAGACCATTCAAACTAAAGCATCTGAATATAATTGACCCATTGAAGGATAATAACAATCTTGGGCGCAGTGTTCATAGAGGTACAATCAATGAACTTCTATGGCTCACTTTATTGGAAAGTTTGGCCTTTGCACTGCATGTTTCACCCCAATATTTGATCTTGCATCCCATATTTTGTTTCCTATGGAGTGCGCTCCAGAGTGGATCCTTTATGTTAGACTTTGTACCCCATGATTTACCTTAATATTTGATTTTGCACTCTGATTCCTCAAACAAAAGCTAACACGATGTTCATTAATGAATTTTCATTTTGTGGTTCTTTTGGTACTAGAAGACATCTCAGGATTAATTTTTTCAAATAAGAACGATAAATGCAGTTGTGCAGGTGGTTGCTCTGTAGCCGTACTAGTACTGATACTCCTAATGTCAGGTGGTGGCAGCACCGTAACAAGCAGTAACAGCTACTGTTGCCACCGGGCGATAGCAACCACAACCGACGGTGGTGCTGGATACTAGTAGCCGCCGTTGGTAGCAGCATTGGACAGTAGTAGCTAGCTACAGAGAAGGAAACTCTGATGCAGGATGCTAATATTGATGTAGCTACTGCTACTATCATTAGTTATTTAGTAACAATGCATACATATGGCTGCTGTTCATATTTGTATATAAAATGTTAAAAGTGATGTTTTTGTAGTTATAAATTGGTTAAGGTGTTATTATGAAATTCTCCCTTTTTATTATTTCTTCTAAATATATCAGGTCAGTTTATAGTCAATTTGGTTGTGTGTAGGTAATTACTACCGCATACGTAGTGCTTTCAAGTATGGAGCACGCAAGCTTGGTCGGGTTCTCTTATACCCTCAAGATAAAATTGGAGATGGGGTAAAGAAGTTCTTTGCAAACACCATTGACATGCATGGCCAGAACCCCTTGTATAATTTAAAGAACTCATCTTCCCTAAAAAATTACCCCAACAGTATGTCGTCGTCATATGAGGATGAAATGCCTTTGAAACCATCAGTTGGCTATTGTGATGATAGTAACAGTAGTGTTGAATGGGAAGATAAATTCAGCCCTTCAATATTAAGAAACGAAGTTGATGCCAAGCTGATGAAAAAACTAGTTAATGAAAATAGCTGCTCCACAACTGAGGTTACTGTATCAGGACATGATCTGGTGGCTCCCACAAAGAGCACGGATTGGGCACCCACCCAAAACGGGCAATTTGATTGTGTTTACGGGAAGCCAGTGTTTGGTTCATTGATAGACCAAAGCGAGATTCTTTCTGAGAGTAGTGCATACCACCAGTCACTGACAGATTACAGTGAGAGTGTCTGTTCTGGTGTTTCGGAAATCTCAACTCCAAAGACAAGCATTTTGGAAAGCTTGCCCCTTGATTTTAGGGAAAGGGACTTGGCCAGCTTAGCGGGCGACGATTTGGAAGTTCTGAATCCTTTAGCTGACCTCACAGGGGATTATGACAGTCATATTAGAAGTTTGGTGTATGGTCAGTGTTGCCACGGGTATGCATCAATGGCATCGTTATTGTTTGATCCCCTGTTTAAACCAGCTCACTATCAAGATTTTGATTATCTGGACACTGTTCATTATTCAAATACGGGTTCGGTTTTTGTGGGACCCGCATTCCTTCCCTCACCTGCTAACAACCCCTTACCATCAAATGTTACTTGCTATGAGGAGATAGCTGAAGCAACAATACCAGAACTGTTCATACCAAAGATGGTACTTGCTTCTTTTTCGAATAGAAGCCCATTTGGTTAACTTGATTTTTGCTTATTAGCTTATATAGGCTGGGTTTTTGCACCAAATCCTAATATTGTTTTAGCCTTGGCTGAAATAAAAAAAAGATTGCATTAAGTTCCTTTTAGCTTTATATCTATATTATTTTTATGTACTTTTTCAAGTAACAATTTAATAATAATTTTCTAGATAATTCAACAGATTCAGGAATTTTTGAACCACAACTTCAACTGATCCATTCATTTTAAGTATTACCAAACAGTGCGGTCTAGTCTATGTTGTTTAATAGCCAAGATTGGGTAAAGAGCGTTTTCTTTTTTGTTGTGAACTGAGGCTGCGTTTGACTTACTCTAATAGGATGTAATTTATTGTACCAAAATATATTGTACTGTAAATTTACATTTAAGAATGCATGCAATTACATCAAGTCTGATTACAGCTTACCATCCTCTACCTAACTTCAATAGTATTTTTTTTTACAGGATCGTTCTTGCAAAATGAAGGGCAGGAGTAAAGAACTCTCCAGTAAAATCCAGTTCCAAAAAGTGTCTAGTAGCAACGGATGCATTCCTGTGGTGTTATCAGAGGCAAACTGTTCCGGAAATGAGGATGATGATGGCAGTGGTGGTAGCAAGCCAGACTGTTATTTCCACTCCCAAAAACCTTCGTGTAAGAAACGTGGAAAGCTTTCTGCATCCAACCAGTATGCCGACCGCGAAGATGAAAATGGTCTCCCAAATTTGCCAAGTGAGATTGAGTTTGGGTCTTTAGGGAAGCTCCCTGACGGTTTTCTTTCAGGCGCTCTTCGTGGTCTAGCCCCACCAACGAATCTCTCTAAAAAACTAGTATGGTGCAGAAAGGAAAGGCATGGCAGTTTTGCATGAAGTGATTTACGCATTACATTTGTGTGGGATATTTTTTGACAGGATGCTTTTGGGTTTGTGTATTCCAGGTTTGCAGATCGGTCGTTCCTCCTGAAAAATGAAGAAGAGTTCCCCCCATTGACGCCCATGTGACCCGTGAGGAAGTGCATGAAAATATCCGGAGGCGAGGGTATATGAGACATAAGTTAGCTGCTAACAAACCATAGAAACATTAGTTTTTTTTTTTTTCATTTAGACAAACGTAATGATAAGAAACAAAAGTAAAGCTATAGCTATAGCTATATATATACATATTGCATTTGTTAAGGTCATGTAAAAGCCAAGACACTTCCCTATTGGTCGGATGATGAAAAGAAGATAGAAAAATGATTACACTGTATAATTAGCTTTGGCTCTCTATGTAACTACCTGTGGTATATCTACTCTTAACTTGTCCTCGGAGTCCACGTGGATTGCGGAATTGACCTTGACTTAGGTATGTTCGGGTAATGGTAGAAGTAGGCATGGAATGAAACCGGGCTGCCCGACCCGGTATTGTGCTGAACCGGTGACCGGGCCCTGGACTGGTCCGGGTGGACCGCATCGGGTATTAAACCAAGCGGGCTCGGATGCCCAAAAAATGGAACCGGCCCGGGCCTATTTCTTTTTTTCGTTAGAAAAGCAAAAAAAAAACTAACATTGAACCGGCCCGGTTCGGGTCCGGACCGGAACCGCTGCCTACTCGGGCCGGTTCCCATTCTCTCTTCCCAAAAAAAAGCCTGGTCGGGCCCAAGCCCGAATGGGAACCGGCCCGGGTCCATGCATAGGTAGAAGTGGTTTTAAGTTAAAGGCGAGATTCATAAGAATAATTTCTACTTTCGTGAATTCTACAATAATAATTGTTATTGAGAGTGTTCATAAAAATAATTCCATGTATGAACTTGCAACAAGGTTCAAAGAAATAAAACGGTATGAATTCAAATTAATGTCTATTTAATTCTTCTAACTTTTACTCTCACTTTATTCCTTGATTTTCTTTTGCGGATGAATTTAAATTAATGTCCGTTTGATCTCAACGTCATCTTCATCATATGTAGTTCTCTTTAGATTGAAAGGTAGAAGTATTACGTGAGACGAAAAGTGGTGAAAGATAAAGTGGTGCTAGGGATTGAGAATATTAGATGGACGTTAACTTGAACTCATCTCAATTTATTTGTGTGAGATTCTTAATAAGGATTCTTATTATAGAATCCCTTAAAGTAGAGATTAATCTTATGAATTTTGTCTAAGTTAAATGATTCAATCTAGTGATAGAGGTATTCTTAGAATATTTTAATTGGATTGAAATTTTGGAAGACCAAAACGAACAAAAATATGAGAATCAAAGATGTGCCTAGGACTCCATGTGTTATTTGTCGACTAGATTTATTAGGAGACTGACAGTTTAAGCAAATAAACTCGATGAATGTACATAAAGGAAAGTTCAAAGGTACACGATTACTTATTCTTATGGAGAGCCTGTGACCTCTTATGCCCATATTCTTCTGTTACCTGTTTTTAAGTTAACTGTACGTTTTCTGAGATAGCTCAGCCCGACCTAGACCTACTCGGCTACTCACATCCTAGTTGAGTCCAATCTCATGACACTGACTACCCCAAGCGGGAAGGGGTGGTGCTTTGCCACTCGAGTACCCTGGAGATCCAGACTATCAACTCAAATGTCTCATATTTTCTATTCCACATTATAGGCCATAAGAAAATAAAAAATGATATTTGTACTCACTCTTATACCCACTGTTGTACTCATCTATGTTTGTGAAATGTTTTTTTGTCTGTAAACCCCGGCTCACAAACAATATATTGCACAAACAAAATATTGTCTGTGAACCCGGGTTCAAGACAAAAAAACATCTCACAAACATGGTGGGTATAAGAATGGATACATCAAGCATTGTTGAATAAGAAAATGGACCGAGGATTGTCACCAACCCAAAAAGGAGGTAGAAAAACTTCTCAGTCGAGTCAGTATGTTTGGCAACTCGAGCCTGGGTAGAAAATGCAATGCCTAGCGGCAAATGGATGAAGTACCAACTCCAAACAATAGAAAACGTGAGATTGGCCTCATATCCGATGATGACGCTAATGACATGACATTCCATGGTTATACTCACTTTATAATCAAATCACACTTTCAATGTCTTAAATAGTATCAGAAATTTTATAGAGACCTATATAACTCCATTATAGGGTCATATAGTACATGTATCATCATCACAATTCTAGTATAAAAATGAATGGTTATTATGAGGTCACATGGACTATATGGCTCTATAATGGAGTCATATAGCCCTTCATAAGTTTTTTGTAAACAGTACTCACATTTAAATATCGTCCTCGTGTTTTCAAATTTGTAAATGTCAGTCCTTAATTATCTAAATTGTTGGAAATATGATCCTTTGAAGGGTGACATTCACACATTTGGAAATATGAGAACTACAAAGGGGGTATTGTATAAGAAATTAGTGGTAAAATTTTAAAAGTACATGGATCGCTAAAGTTCAGGTGTATTGAATGTAAATTTTTGAAAGTGTAAGAACTCTAGTTGTATTCAATGCAGACTTTTAAAAGTATGCAAAAGTCTAGGTGTATTCAGAGCCCGTTTGGAGAACTCTGTTTTCGGCTTATCAGGCTTATCAGCCAGCTTTTTCACCAAACACGTAACTTTTACTTTTGCGCGCTGAATTGTGTAATAAGCCGAAAAAGTAAGGTTGGAGTTACTTTTCTGGCTGTATTGGCTGAAGTTACTGTAGAGGACCATTTTAGTTATTTTTACATATAATTTTTTCTTTAATTTATTAATAAAATATATTTTTAAAATATTTTTTTCTTAAATCAGCAGAATCAGCCAAAACAGCCACTCCAGCTAGAATATCATAAATTTCAGCAGAATCAGCCAAAACAGCCGATTTTGGTGCTACCAAACGGGCTCTCAAACTTTTATTCATTTTTATGGACTTAAAATCACGGATTCTCATGGATTTTTAACTCAGTTTTAGTTCATCAGTTCTCTGCAATTGTCTCTTCTTCTTACAAAAGATTTCAGTAAACTTTTTCTTGTGTTATGCTCATCACAACTTACATATATCTGGTTCCAGAATGAGACTAGACGCGACTACTTATTTTTCCAGGATTACAAATCAGGTAATTGCTCCTAGAATAGTACCAGGTTGGAAAGTGGGTATCAAGATGGCCTCGATATGCAAGTTTTGAAAATTAAATTCTGATTTTTTTGTCTTTTTACGATGGATAAAATTGAACAAGAAGACTCTACATCAATACTGGTACATAATATAAGCTTAAAAGAAATTAAAAATGATTGTTTATTAATCAACTTACGAATAAAAATGCAGGGGCGAGATCGGTTCGATTCTTAAAAGAAAATTAGAAATCATATTGGTTCTGTCTAGAATTTTTTTTCCTGAACCAATATAAGAATTGATAATATCATATTGATGTCATTCTTGTATATTACTCTGTATCAGTTAATCGTTCACAAATAAAAATATATTTAATCATTAATGTGTTTCATTGTTAAACCACTTACACATAAAAATATAATCTAAAACTAATAAATATGTAACTGTAAATATGTACACAAATTTTAACATGCTAAAAATCAAAAGAAAACAATTATTAATTCAGAAGAAAAGCTCGTGCATGTATCCTCGCACCACATGTAGCAACGAGTGTAACCATAACGATTATGATTCTTACGCATTGAGTTGTGTAATGTAACAATTAAGTCAAAAAGAGATCGAGTTTGTTGATCATTCTCTCAATTATGCATTTTCTAATTAATAAAAATAAATTTGTATGCTTAGGACTCGTTTATTATTATAGAACTCCACATTGCTAAATGACTCATATTTGTTTCAATTTTTTTTAATGTTTTCTTTCAATTATTTCTTTAACTGTTTCTTATCATATGTTATAGAGGAAATTATTCATGGTGGACTAAAGCATAGCTTTCTCTCCAAAATAGGATCATATATTCGATTTTCCTTAAATAGGGCTAAACATTACATTTTTACCCTAATATAATAAATTAATATACTCGTAGTAATTAATCTCCCTAGATCTCTTGCATAATCAATGTCAGTCTATTGATGACGGCAACAAACTTCTGCGGCGAAGTCTAGGCGACGAACAGTTGCAAGGTTCTGGCAAATGATTGATAATGATTTGGGGAGGATCTTGGTGAGGGGCAACGGCAATCGGGTTTAGAAGTTCATACATTTTAAAAAAAAAAACTGGTTTATCCATGAATTTGTGCAAATTTAAGGACGTCATTATAAAATGTACGGAGTATATATATTTGAAAAGTTATAGATTTTTTTTAAAAATGCACCACAATTCATATTAATATGCAATACACCCCTGCATTTTAAGGTGCTATTTGAATAGAAGGTTTTAGAGTTGGTTTGCAAATGCTTTAAAAAAGCAATTCTTAGTTTTTGACTTAAAAAACACTTATTTGATCAAACACTATCAATTTTTATTTTTTTTTTACTTTCGTGTCAAAAGTGCTTTTACTTTTTTTTATTACACAAAAGCACTTATTTTATCAAACACTATCAACTTTTACTTTTCAAAATCAATTTTTTCTCAAACACTATCAACTTTTATTGGGAAAAGGGGCAAATAAGGCCACATACTAACAAAAAAATGTCAAATAAAGCCCTATTTAAGAGACTGTGTCCGGCATTCGTCATTTGGGGTGGTTCTCGGTGGAATTTTTTTATGAAATTTTTTGGTCATCCTATTCATTAAGTCTAGTTTACTCCTACCAAATTTCAGCTAACAATTTAATCGGGAAGACATTTTAATGAATTCTTCAAGATAACTGTGCTCTTTTAATTGCACACTTATCTGAATTCATTTGAAATTTGAATGCATTTCTACTTTCTGCTGCGAGCAATTTTTTAGAACTTTCTGCCTGAAACAGAACTGAGCCAGTGTAAGAGGGCAAGAGGCCACTATGAGGAACCCTACATTTATGAACACCTCCTGCGCTGTGGTCTGAATTTACGATTTTATCACAAAGATAAGAATTGATGGTTTGGCACGATCCCAGAACGATGGGGTTGAAAACCATCAAGGTTGATAAGAAATTTAAACTCTCGGTTGGTAAATTGAAGAGCAACGCTAATGACAGTATTTCAAATGGTAAGAAAACTGGGAGCGGGGGAAGAAAAGCCGGTGTTAACTCTTTCGAAGGTGAGCCTGTGTCTGGAGCAAGAGGCGGGAAAGGAAAACCAAAGTATGAGGATGATGGTCGTGTCAAATCTATATCTTCTGTTGGGAAAAGGAAGAGAACATCTGGCAAGGAAACATATTTGGATGATAATGCTGTTGCAGGGTTAGGGAGCAGAAGGTCTTCTTTAGGAA